GTCACCGCCAGCTCCAGCTGCTTACAGAGCGGCCCAGGCATCCCGCCCCACCCTTCATGGCCAGCCTCCCCCAAATACCGCCTGAAAATAAGCCAGGGCTAGTCAGGCCTCCGCCCACACCCCTCCCAGCTGCAGCCCTCCTGCCCCACCGGGTGGGATCCCGACAGGCCTCACAAGCATGACCATCCCAGCTGCCCCCAGGAGGCTGTGCCTGCCCTCTCTTCCCAAGCCAGTCCAGCCCTGAGCACCCCTAATCTACTCATGGGCAGCGACTTCCAGAAGGGGACTCAGGTCCCACTGCCTCAACCGGAGGCCCGGGGGCCCCCCCATCAGACCTAACCCCACCCCCTTTCTGGCTGGCCTCCCTGCCCCAGGACACCCCTGGTCCCACAGCCCCTCTTCCATGGGGTCCATTTCTCTCATCCAGAAGACCTCACCTAACCAGATCAGGGGCCACCTCCTCCAGGAAGCCCTCCCTGGCTGCCCATGTGCAGCCCTGCCTCACACACACACACTCACCCACGTAGAAGGTGTTGGGTGCAGGCCGGTCTCCGAGCTCCAGGTAGAGGAGGTTGGTGGTCTGCGGGTCATGGCGGAGCCACAGGGCCACGCCGAGGATCACACCTCCAGCCAGCTGGGAAAGAGTGAGGCATGGGGTTACTTGCAGCCCAGAGCACTCTAGTGACAAGGAATATAAACCACACTGCGTGGAACATCTTTGTGGCAGGCATCTCTGCAGGCGTGCCAGTACCCCCACCTCTGGGTCAGTGGTTCAGAAGGGCCTCCTCCCTCTCCTGACCGTGTTCACAGGTACCACGGGGCCGCTCGCCAGCTCCAGAGTGGGAACCAGAGGTCAGATTTGCTGCCCTGAGTTTTCAAGATGCCCAGGAAGGCCCAGGTGTCTGGACCACATGCTGGTCCATCGGCAGCTGCCTTCCAACTGCTGCCTCTTCTGCTAGCACCTCCATAGTCAGACACAGAGGAGGGCTGCCAGATACAATGCAGGACACCCCAGTAAGTTAAGTTTGAATTTCAGATGAATAATGGATTATTTGCTAGTATAAGTATATCCCAAATATTGCATGGGATATACTTATGCAAAAAAAAAAAATCTATTTATTATCTGAAATTCACATTTAACTGGACATCCTGTATTTTTATTTGCTAAATCTGGCCACCCTACACTAGAGGCCACCCCAGAATCGAGCACTCAGGAAATGCCGTGGCCCCCGGGGATGGCCACTGCTCCAATGCCCTGGGTTCCCCTGGGGAGTGCCCCGGGGGCTGGAAACCATGTGGGGTGTGCTGTGTTTTTGCTGCCAGGAGGGGAGGGCTGGGATCCAGTGTCGGGACACTGGTGGGCTGGACAATGGAGCGATGAGGAGGGAGCGGCACCATGGTTGGGGGTGTCCAGGAAGCTGTAGGGGAGGGGCCTGGCAGTTTGAGGGAGAAATCCCTCTCTGCTGTCAGCCCTGGGAAGGGAACCACTGAGAGAGGAAGGAAGCGCAGCTGCAGTCTTTAAGATAGGCCCAGAGGAAGTGGCTAAAAAGCCCAGCTGGGGGCTACTGCTCAGTTGGGCAGGAGGGACCCTGCTTGGAGAGGGAGGCGGCGGGGGGAGGGGGCCTCGACACACGTGACAGGCGTCCTTGTGACAGGCATCCTCGTGACCATCCCGGCCGGGTGGGTCCGCCCTCCAGGACCACCCAGCCCACTTCCGAGGCTCTCACCCAGCCAGGCGTGGGCGCCAGCTGCCCTCTGGCTGCCGAGGCCTTCCCAGGCCACCACCCAGCCCCCCAGACACTGACAGGCAGAGGTGGGCTGTGCGTGTGGAAAGGAAACCGAAAGGTTCCCCTGAGGGCCACCAGCGGGGGCGGGGGGCGCACGTGGGAGCACCAGGCCACCCCAAGGAAGCCCCAGCCGCCTTGGGGGAATTCCCAGTGTGAGGGCCCGAGCGGGGTGAAGGGCTGTGGACCGTGCACCGGCCCCCCGCCACCCCTGCCCTCCCTGGGGCCCTCCCACCCTGGGCTCTGCCAACAACAGGGCTGGAGGGACAGCTGCTGCTCAGCAGCAGTTGAGCTGTTCCCCCCAGGGATCGCCGATGCCCTCAGGACAGGCCGTGGCACCCTCCCCACCCCCACGCCGACTTCAGGGGCGCACCTCTCTAGCGGGGCTGTGGTTTCTCAGCCCCCATTTCAGCAAAGCGCTTCTGACGGAGCTCCACTTACTTGGTGGGTGCTCTGGTTTTGGGGAGGGTGGACGCTGTCCCCCCCACCCCAGACCCTGGACCAGCTCCTGACGCTCTTTCCCCCCCGAGGAGCAATGCCCATTAGGACCACTGAGGGTGCCTGTGTGCCTGCTGGCCAGGCTGGGAAGTGGCCTGACACCCAGCACTGCTCAGCCCTCACAGGACAAGGTCCCCGGGCGCCAGGCTTCCAGACAGCACCCCGTTGTACGCGGTGGGGGAGGCCTGGGAAGCAGCGAGGGCAGGGGGCATGCCAGGGGGTGGCGGGGCAGAGCAGAGGGCTGGGCGAGGTGCCGCCACCACGGGGCCACCATGGGGGATGTCCCGATAGCTGGCTCCTGGCATCTGCGCTTGCGGGATGGAGGTGGGAGGCTGGGGGTTACCACGGCAACTCTGGCTTCCTTGGTGGCGGCTTCAGAACGTCGTTTATTTTGTTTTGAACTAAGGTCCAGGGCCAGCTTTGCCAGCGTTCCCCAGCAGAGGAGAAGCGGGAGTCCCATCCTTGGGGGCCTGGCCCTGATCCCTGACTGACTCAGCCGCAGAGACTTTCTGCCTCAGTGTCCCCGCTGGTAACACGGGGCCAAATGTAGAACAGCTCCTGGCTCAGAAGGCATGCCTCCTTGGCCAGCAGGGACCACCCAACACCCTCCCCTTACAGCACCCTCACCCTGGGGGGCCGGGGTGACAGAAATGCTCACGAGGTAGCAGCGAACCCACCAGGCTAATGAAGGACATGTAGACACGGCACGGCGTCTAGTCAGCACCTCTGCTCTGCTTTTGGAAGTGGGGGGCTGGCCTCCTGGGCCCTCCCAGCTCCCACAGCCCCTCCAGGGGGCCCTCAGGGTGAGACCAGGCCTGGGTCTCCAGGAGGTGCTGCTGGTACTTCCTGGGGTGAGGGTGTACACATACTTCCTGGCCAGCCCAGCCCAGGGGGAAGGGAGAAGGAAACCGTGCCTGCTGTACCCCAGCATCCACAACACCCCCCAAAACTCCAAGCCCAGTCCTCACAGCTATGGAGACCCTGGGGGGCATCCCAGCTCAGCCCTGGGGCTGACATCTAAGCATCCCACGTACTCCCCAATAAGATGGAAGCCCCACCCACACTAGGTGGGGCCCCTCCCACACACAGCAGAGGACCCTCCCTCAAGGTCGGAGCCCCTCAAAACGGGCAGGGTGGAAGGATTAGTGACAGGACCCCCCTCTCTGAGAGCCAGACAGGGCCCACACCCCACTTCTCATCCTAGGGGCTGGGGGTTTCCGAGCCGTGGCCCGAGGCCCCTGGAGGCTGTGGGTCCTGAAGGTGCAGATTGTATCATGCTGCGAGAGGAGGGGGGGTGGAGCAGGGGGCAGGAAGGTGCTGCCCCCCAGGGGCATGGCCAGGCCCACCTCTAGGTGCCCAGGGTCAGCAGAGACCCCAGCCTGGGACCCTCGGTGGGGAGGACGGGGCAAGTGTGAGGAAGTGAGGAGACAGTATACAGGCAGGGGAACACCAGTCACACACCCCCAAACCCAAATACCTAGACATACCAAGGACAGGGAGTGGGTGCTGCCCGTGTGCATCCCACCAGAGCTGCTGGGGCGCCAAGGGGTCTGGCATCTCTGCAGAGGCCTGAAGCCGGACGACCACAATGGTGGTCCAAGGGTCTCCTCCAGATTCCCAGTGAGAAGACCAGGCAGCGTGAGAGCCATCCACCCCCCCCGCCCCGCGTCACTAACCCAAAGCTTCAAGAAAGAGCAGAGTGACGGGGCTGGGGAGGGGACATCACTGCCGCCCCTGCCCCAAACCCCCACACGAGGGCAGGGCTGGAGGTGCTAGAAAGTTGGAAGTTTGAAAGAAATCGGCTCTTCAAAAGACACTTAGAGAATCCAAAGACGAGAACAGGCTGGGAGAAAGTATTTGCAAGTATCACACATCCAATAAAAGGTTTGGGTCCTGAGTATACAAAGAACTCTCAAAACTCAACAACAAGAAAACCCACTTTTTAAAAAATGGGCAAAAGATCTGAACAGACGCTTCACTAAGAAACAAATCCAGATGACCGAAAAGATGCTCAACACCACTGTCGCTGGGAGAAGGCAAAATAAGACCCCAAGGAGATACCAGACGTACCTACTAGAATGGCTACAAATTACAAAACCGACCATATCAAGTGTTGACAAGCAAGTGGAGGAATTGAAACTCATCCACTGCTGGCAGGAATACAAAATGGTGCAGCTGCTTTGGAAAACAGCTTGGCAGTTTCTTAAACAGTTAAGCCCACAACTATCACCTGTCACTGTTCTTTTCGAAAGTAAAGGACACCCTGGTGGGTAAAGTAGAGGGTGAGTGGAAACGACAAAGACCCTCAATGAGATGGACTGACACAAGAGATTCAACAATGGGCTCAAACATACCAACGCTCATGGAGATGGCCAACTCCATGGCACCTAACATCACCACCACCTACCGCATGATCCTGCCATTCTCCTCGCAGGCATTTAACCAAGAGAAAAGGAAGTATCTGTCTTTACAAAGACTTATACAGGAATGTTTACAGCAGCTCCATCTGTAAGAGCCCCAAACTGGAAACAACCCAGTTGTCCGTTCACAGGTGAATAACAAATTGTGCTCTGTCCACACAATGGAATCTCGTTGTCGTTAGCTGCCATCCACTTGGCTCCCACTCCTACCCAGCAATAAAAAGGAATGAACTACTGATCCTCCTACGACATGGGATGAACTGCCAAATAATTATGATTAAGTCTTAAGAAATGCAAGTTAGGTACAGTGACAGATCACAGATTAGTGGCTGCCCAGGGAATGGGGGAAGAAGGGTGCGGGGGTGGGGGGTCGTGAGAGGGATCTCGAAGGGCCATGAGGACGCCGTCCTGATTGTGGTGACGGTTTCACAGGTGTCTACATGTCAACACTTACCAAGCTGTACACTCTAAATATGTGTGATGTAGTGTATGTCAAGTGTACCCCTTTAAAGCAGTTTTAAAAAACCCACACACCCAAATCCCTGGTGCCCAAACCTCCAACCAGCTAGGTCTTTAGGAAAAAAGAACCCTGGGAGCACTTGGTTAAACACTCGGCTGTTAAAGGAATGGTCGGCGGTTCGAACCCACCCAGCGGCTCCGTGGGAGAAAGACCTGGCGATCTGCTCTCGTAAAGATTACAGCCTAGAATACCCTATGAGGCAGTTCTACTCTGTCACATGGGGCCGTCATGAGGCAGAATGGACTAGACGGCACCTAACAACAACAGGGCTTTAGGGGGAAGTGTTCCCTCTGGGTCCCAAGAATGCAGGACCGCCATCTTGGTGCCAACGGCCTGCAAGGGCGGGGAACCAGTACCTGGGTCCACCAGGTTTCTTGCGGCCAGCGGCAGGCATCGGAGGTGCTGGAATGCT